TAGGATTTAAACTTTAGACTTGCTATTTGAAAGTTAATAACTTAATCATTTTAATAAATTACTATATTTTAATAAATAATATTTTAGTAAATTATAAATATAATATTAAGTATAAACCTTTTAAATAAACTCTTTAAAATAAATAACCAAAAGTTAAATATGTAACTAGTTGTATTCTTATCTCTATAAAAATTATTATAATAATTAATTTCAAATTTATTAATAAAAATATTACTATAAAATATGACTTTTTAATAATAAAAAAAAATAATTAAATTTTAATAAAGAAGATTTTATTTTTAAGAAATTAAAGATTTAAATAAGCTTTTTTTACTAAGTAAAAAAATTTTTAATATTAACTAAAAATTAATACTATTATAGTATTTCAAATTTGATAATAAAAATTAATACTAGTATATACTGCATATATATAATATATTATTAATTTTTTTTTTTTTTTTTTAAGATGACCTCTTGAGTCTTTTGACTTTATTTAACAATGATAAATGTGGTTCAGTAAACAATTACAGAAAGAGCATACAATTGGCTACATATATAACTTTTTTATATTACCTATTTAAGAAGTTTATCAAAAGTTTTCTACCAATTATTATATCTAATACTTTTGCTTGGATATTCTATTTTAAATCCTTTGAACCTGCAAACCTGTTAATTTTACTGGGTCATATCTGATGCCCAGATCATTATCTCAACCTTAGGACTATTTTATCTTTAAAGTAAACTCCCCAGAGCCTTCTGTATTCATTTTTACAATTGATCTAGATATTGCTATAGCAGAATTAACACTTGTGATCAGGGCTTAACTATTAAACCATTATGCCCTTGTAGAGGTTACTTAGACTTCAGCATCTACTTCATAGCATAACACAGTACTTTAGTATACCTCTGCTTTTTCATCTGTCTTTTTACCAAACTTTCAATCCAAATAGCCTGTATAGGACTATGACCAGTCTATCAGTATATCTAATCAGTTTGATATTCTTTTCTTCAGTTCGTTCTGATGGCCTGTTGGTAGCACTTTTGAGACTTTCAACTCAGAGGTTTTTGCCTGTCTGGCTACTATGACTGGGTACTATGATCTTGGTATCTGTTTCCTTGAGCTAGTCTTTACAATAGGACTATTGAAAATTCAGCTATCTCTTTATTTAGGTCTTCTTAAATAGACTTCTTGTTATCTAATTTCAACAGATTTACATAGTCATAAAAACTTATCTAGTATTTGCACTGCCTAATTGTCAATTTGTATTTTTTTATATAACTACAGACTTTGTTCCAAAGGACAATGTTATATGACTTATTACATGAATGCCCCATAACCTGCTAGTTATACTAATGTGACTACTATAACAGATACTCTAATCTAATTGTTAGTAACAGTTAACATAATATGAATATTACATAAGTAATTATTCAAATTTTCACTATCAGTAGGATTTGAACACCTAACCTATCACTTGAAGGGTTGACAACCTGACTACTTCACTAGGTTACCACACCCAAATTATTATTAATTTGTTATATAATGTTTTTAATTACTTTTTTATAGATAAGTTTTTAAATAAAAATATAATTTCTATAATTTAAGATATAGAAAATTTTAAATAAATATATATTAAATATTTTTATATTATTGCAAAATTATACTGTACTAAAAAAATATTTACATTTGATATTTTTTAAATTTATTCAAAAAATAAAAGATGATTTAAAACTTTAAAAAAGATTAAAAAAATTAAGTCAATTTTAAATAAAAAAATAAAAATAATATTTTTTTTACCAAATTATGCTTATTAAAATAATAATATATTATTGAATTTTTAAAATATTTATTATTAATAAGACATGCTCATATTAAATTACTTTTTTAAATATAAGTAATTTTTATTTATTCAAAAAAAGCCAAAATCAGTTTTTATTATATAAGTAAAAATTTTGTATATGTTTGCTTTAGCAGACTGTTATAGCATTTAAGCTTAGAATATGATTATTTTTTGTTAAACTATAAAAATTTTATAAATAAAAACCTAAAAAGTAATAATAATTATTAATATAGATTCAAATTAAAATAGTTATATAAAGACTTAATCATTAAAAATATTATATATAAAAGCAACAACATTATTTAAGTTTATGGCTTAATTGTTATTAGTATAAAAAATATAAGTACTAATAAATATAATTATTAAGTATATAAAAAATGTAATAATTAATTATAAATTAATAATTATAAATGAAAAAAATTTAAATTAATAAAATTTATTATCTTAATATAAATTAGTTATTGTTATAACAAACTACTATAAAATCAAGCAAAAAAATCTTAAACACCTGTTTATAAATATAAATATTTTATAAATAGTCTTTTTATATTTATAAACAGTTCATATCTATATTCAAAAACAATACTAATATAGATCAAATAAAGCACTATAAATTGGTATAACAGTTACTAATATAAAAGTTAATTGTTTAACTCTTAAGAACTACTTTGTTAAAACTTCATTGGCTTATAATAATTATATTAGCTTATTAGTATTATTTATACAAAATTTAAACAAAAATAATTATAATCAGCATTTTATTTATTTTTTATTTAATAATTGATATATAGATAATTCTAAATGCATATAATAAAATATCAATAATTCTATAATTGCGATTTACTATTATTATAAGTTAAATGGTTATAGTGCTTTGTAATACAGTAGTTTCATAATTATATTTTTTAGCAAACAATAGACTTAGGTCCTTATATAGAATATTTTTTAAAAAATTAATTTGGATCTTAATAGTAATTATTTTATTTTTCAGACCTTTATTTGTAAATTTATCTAAACTATATTAAACATATTTTGAAATTTATTTGACTATTTTTTTAGATTTTAACAAAGAAAGCTATATTCTTAAAAGTTAACTGAATCAATGCATATTTTTTGGCCATGTCTCAATAGTATATATTTGATCATTATTATTTTTTTTAAATTAATATCTAGTTAATCAATTTATTTTTCTCAAATAGTTAGGTATTATAAATGATAACTTTGTTTAATAAATCTCTTACATATAAATCAATGTTGAAGAACAACATCTTGTCATTTGTTGAATTAATTTTAAGTTATCATAAATTCAAATATTTTAGAAAGTTTAAAGATTATAATAAGGCTATATTTCAAAGAGTAATTGAATTGCTACTTCTAACCAAAAATTGTCAACCTGAAGTTTGATTTGTAATTGATGAATCAAAAAATTCAAGCATAGATTATTTTGGATTTATTAACATTTTTGTTAATGAAGTAAATGAATACAAAATGAAGTCAAGCATAATATTGGTGTTAAAATGTATTTCTTTGGTAGGTTTTTTAAGTGAAAAGACAAAATGAGTTGAAACCACAGATTACAAATTATTAAAGGACTTAGATAATAAGATCAAAGAAGAAACTGAAAACAAATTATTAAAGGACTTAGATAATAAGATCAAAGAAGAAACTGAAAACAAATTATTAAATAGAAAATATTTCTATTAGTGTAAGAAAAAAAGAAATCTGAGCAAGAATTGGTGAGAGAGTTAAATCAAAATGAAGGGAACAGTTTGGTAGGTATATAAAAATGGTGCAAAAGGGTAATGGCACCACCACATTCAACACTCATTTAATGAATGGGCAAAATTAGGTCCAAAGGCTGGATTGTTCCAAATATCTTTTATTGTGATGAAAATTTCCTTTGCGACTAGAGGTCTGATCCATCGAATAATTAGCTGAATATTTGATGAATATTTGGATGTTCGAATATAAGATTATTTCATCAAATTAAATATCTAATTTCTTTTTTATTCGCTGATTAATTCAGTGATATTCAGTGATACAAAATAATAAAATTACCGTACAGCGTTATTAAAATATCCGGGGTACTTTACAATTTAAGCTGTAGATATGGGTATGGTCAGCGTAGGGGGTATAAGTTGTAATAGATGGGTGCTACAGTAATATTTATATACTAAGTGCATCTTTAGTACCCGGGGTACTATGCATTCTAGGCTTTCGAAAATCGGGAAGGTATTATAAAAGAGGGTCTTTTAGTCCACGCTGTACGGTAAATTTTGTAAATTAAAAAATAATGATGCAACTTTAATCATTTGAGTACTAGGATCATTTAAGTAGACTTAGGACGTTCTCGAGCCTTAACCTCGACGGGTTAGCTCATAATCGTAACAGAGCATAACTATAATTATATTTTGATAACGAGACGAATAAGCAAATTAAAAAGTAATCAAAGTTTGCACAAACATTATTCTCTGTGTAATTAACTAATAAACATGACGATACTCATTTACTATAATCAATCGAAATAAGAATTGTAATTGATATTTGAATGATCCATTAATATTTTATCAAATGTCATTATCACTATGTTTAGTTTGTATGTTGCATGATAAGGTTACTTGTGTGAACTTTTAAAATACTCAATTTATTGTAAATTTTACCAACCTGCAATGTTTATAAGTTGAAATAATAAACTTTTGTATCATTTTTTTTTTATTAATAACTATTTATTATTAAACTACGATGTTTATTTAAATATTCATTACGATAATAAACACATTTGACCTCTTAGAATATTTTCTGCTAAGTAAAACGTTTGAGAACGTTCTTAATTTGATGAAATAATCTTATATTCGAACATGCAAATTCGGATAATTTTCAACGGATAAGACCTCTAGTTATGAATTCTGTAGTCTAGTCAAAATATGAAGTAACTAAAAGTATATATCAAATATCATCGAATAAATCGGATATTTATTCGCTAGTTTTTTGACCAGATCAGATATTTATTTGTAACCTCTTTAAAAACTTCAGGATGTTTTTTCCGAGTACCATCATGTTCTAATGCCTTTGTATACTTTCAGTTTGATTTTTATTAAAGGTTACACGAATTCTTTACACATTTTCTAAAACATTGGTAAGTTTGAAAGTACCATTTCGTCACGCAAGTTTCAAGATTACTTTTTTCATGGAGTGAGAAAGACGGTTTACTAAATCTGAATCCTGATCAATTGTCTGGTTGGCGAATAAATCACTCGATTCAAGATCGAAAGCTGTCACACTCCTTAGATCTAAAGTCAATTCCTGAAAGAGTAATGACGAATCTCTAGATAAATATTAGTATGAATTTATTATTTGATTATTAGTAAAACTAAAAAGCCCAAATTTACCCAATAGCTTTAACTTCATCTTCTGAAAGTTGGCATTAATTTGTTTGAAGCGAAAAGTTCTTTGTCACTTTTAATGCTCCAATGTTAAGTAAACTATGAACTCTTCATATGCTATCTCAAACTAATAAAAATAGATTTAAATTATAGTCGCAAATTCAGTTTATTGAGATTTTTTGTATCGAGGTTATACTGTAGTGGAAATTTTTTTTTAAAAAAAAATATAATCAAGATAATTATTACGTTACTAACCTTGTACATATTTAAATATATTTAAATAACGATAAAAATCAGTGATTAATAACATTAATAAGAATCGGAACTAATATAAGTCCAGAAAATAAAGAAGAATTAATAGCAAGAGTATTTATGTTAATTATATTATGAAATTTAGATAAAAGTCAGATAAATTGTGAATGGATGAACAGAAAGTTTGAAATTATATTTTTGATGTTTTACTATAAAATGCGTCAAAACGTAACTTTTGTATCACTAAACATAAAATTTGAGTTCTTCACTTCACTTCGAACAATTATTTATAACATAACGTATTGTAAAATAAAAACTTATATTCGATATTAAACTTTTAATATATATTTTAAGTTTACTAAAAGCTTGCACTAAAACAAATAAGTACTTTATTTTAATAATAATTAAAATAAAATTATTTACGATATTTTACTTATAAATAACTTTATAATAATAGTTAAAATTTATTTATAATGATAATAAATATAAATCTTTATTTATAATAATATTTATATATAAAATTTGTTATAACATAAAATTTTATTTATAATAATAAACAAATAACTTAATTTATAATAATATTTAAAAACATATCTTTATTTATAACAATTTAAACATATAACTTTATTTATAACAATATAGCAATATTATTTAGCATATACAAATTTATAAAATTAATATAATAAAATATTATACCTTTTATAACTTCCAAACGATCGAATTTTTTAAACCGTTACTAAATAAATGACAAACCTACAACTCAGTAAAAAAAATAAAAAAAAATAATGTGAATAATTGAAAAAACCTAAGTGCCCCCAGGAGGTCACATGTCAACATGCAATAGTAAGTTCTCAGGTGACCACGTGTATTTACCTAAGGCTACTACCATCGAAGGTGTAACCTGGAAGCCCAGAAGCAGTTACCAAAAGGGTGTCAAGTTAATATATTAACGTAAGATCAATTACTCATCTCTTACGCTTTTCAACTCAATGACAAATTCAGCAAACGACATTACACATAACGGAAATTAAAATATAAAAAAATATATAATTAAATTATTAAAAAAAAACGTGTAATATATAAAAATATATAAATTCGAATGAAGAATAATATAAAGAATATAAAATTCGATATAAAAAAGTAATAAAGGCAGGTAAAAAGAAAAAGCGGTCCTTATATACTTTTTTTATCGACACGTCCGTTGTTTTGTGATCGCGATTTTGCAAACCAAAAACACGAAATAAACACGGTGAAATACGATATAAATAATGGTGAACGCGATATAAATTAGGCAATCATCAATGAACGTGGTACAAATTAGGCAATCACTACAAAAATTTTCCCAGGCATATGACTCATCAATGATTATATGGTTAACATTCGCGTGTCAGTTTAGTAACGAAGCTGGGTACCATGAACGAGACCCGGGTCACGATCCGGAAGATCCGGGTATATTTCTTGTTAGATATATACTATATTAAATACTAATATTAAATTATGTAAAGTACTCGTGATTATTGTCATAGGCCATTTGGTCATAACGAAGATTGATATGACTTAT